CGGTATACTGAGCTTAGGGTAATGGGAGGACGCTAGTTTGTGTCCTCCCGTTACCCTAAGGAGAACTAAGGGGAAAAACACTGACCCCATAGTTCTCCTTTAAAGTCAAAAGGTTTTTAGACAGATTCAAATGCTGACTACATTGAATTGTATAAAAACTAGAGATATCCCATCACTTCCTGTCCCTGTGACACCCTGTCACTGAGACAAGAATTGAGTAAGCGTCTCTCCAGACAGCAATAGGTATCTGACAGAGAAGTTCGGGAGGAGAACGTCCATTAGACGATCTCCACCCCGCACTATGGGACCAGGAGCCATGCAGATTACAACACTTCCGGTCCCATAGCTGTCATTGCTGGGCTCCTGAAGCCCAGCAATAGGCTATTGAATGCTTGTAAGCCCCCCTATGTCATAGCATTTAAAAAAAAGTTTAAAAAAAAAACTTTTAAAAAATAATTTTAAATGAAATAAATGTAAAAATAATAAAAGAAAGTTTTAAAGTCTCCGGCCCCCGCTGACATCCTTTGAGTGGATGTGCACATTGTGTGTGCCTGCCAAATTGTATCGAGGTTAACACACTTGGTTCAGTACAATTAGATCTTTATGTGTATGATCAGCTTTATTGTGATGGTGTTATTTCCATTCTCAGTTTGACAGATGGAATTTGCATCTAAAATGAGTTTTAACAGTCCATTCTGCCCAAAGCTGAATTGGCAAATTTGGTTGGACACCATTGAGCTGAATCACCCTTGGCCTCTTATGGCCTCATTCACACGAGAAAATGGCCGGCACGTACAGATCCGTGCTGCGTGCACGGCCGTATCGGGCAGCTCACAGGAAGGGCAGATGCTGCGTGTGATTAGTTCGAAGCCCATGTCTTTCTCTATGGTAGTACGTGGCGGTATGCCGCCCTACGCTCACCCCAAGTGCAGGTCCGTACGGGTGCTGATGTCCCAGCTCGGACGCAGACAGGATCCGCAGGCAGACGCGCAGGGCGGTGTATGGCTGCGTTGTCCCATAGAGAAGGACGGGGACTGCGTACTAAATCACACACAGCACCTGTCGTTCCCGGGAGCTGCCCGATACGGCCGTGCACGCAGCACGGAGCTGTACGTGCCGGCTTTTTCTCATGTGAATGAGGCCTTACTCTCTGGGCGATTCAGGTGCAATACTTTCCATCATGTACCCACTCTGCCAGGGGTGGGCAACTCCAGCCCCCCAGCTGTTGTGGAACTATAAGTCACACGAGACATTGCAAGACTGATAGGTACAGGCATGACTCCCAGGGGCATGCTGGGATTTGTAGTTAAAGCACAGCTGGGGGGCCGGAGTTGTCTTCCCTGCACTCGGCCAATCAAACTATGTCAGCCTCTAGCACTCGACTCCCGAGCTGTTTGTGTTTTCCACATTTTTTAGGTGGGAGTTTGATATCATCATCACTTTGTAGTGCTGACAGCAGTCGGGTGGAGCCGGGAATTCTAGTTCAGCGCTATTACCACTGGCGTCCCAGATGGACATAAAGGACGAGCAAGAAAGTCCACTTGCCAGCAGCTACTCAGAACTGATGTATTGGTTTTGGGTGGTGTTGCTGCCATTGCTGACTTCTCCTTCTGGGAAGTGCTAGTCACCTGGCTGTCATGCTAACTCTCTGGCTTAAGTGCTCAGTGAGCTTTACCTTCACTTGTTGCATGCTTCTTCCAGGTCATTGACTCAGAGAGTATTAAAGCCAAGGAGTCAGCATGACAGCCAGGTATCTGGCAATTTCTGGAGCTCAGCAATGGCAGCATCCATATTTGTATCAGAGCAGGCTTCCTTTTAAGGGTATGTCTGGGGAAAAACATATTGAGTACATCTCTGTAATCCTTCCCAGTTTTCCCCCATTTTGAAAATGCTGCAAGAACAGAAAAATACCTGTTGATGTGCCAGAATTCCAGAGAGCTGCGTTTTGCCTTTGCTGCACTGAAATCCCAAGCCCTCCCCAGTTTTGTTGTTTGCTGGACTACAGATGACCCCCTCTCCTCATCTCCATTGCATCCAGGGGAGGTTTTCTGTTGTCAGGGCGGCATGGGAGAACTAGGCAGGGCTGACAACACTACTTAGGATTTTGGTGCAGCAGAGACAAAGTGAACAGGAAGTTAGAGCTCACTGGCAGTGGCGGAACAATCGCCATAGCGACCCTGGTGGCCGCTAAGAGGCCCGGGGCACAGGTGGTAATGGAGCAAAAAAGAGCGCAAAACCAATTGTATAAATAATATTGAGACGAGCCGTCTCTGTAAGAATATAAAAGTTATATTATTATTTATTGTTGCTGACGGGTAAGAGGGTTTGACCAGCCCACCTGAGACCCTGCAGAGCTCACCATAGAGAGTGCATGGTGGGTTCTGCAGGGTCACTCTCAGGTGGGCTGTTTGGGATCTCAGGTGGGCAAGGGGCATAACTAGAACTCACAGGGCTCCATACAAAAATTTGCTATGGGGCCCTGTGATTTCTAGTTACGCCCCTGCTCAGGGGATGTATAGCGGATTAATAGGTATTTTTAATGGCTAGAACATGGGACAATGTGCAGGTATTGCAGAGATGTACTGCATAGGTTTATTTTTTTTATTTTGCCCAGATATGCACTTTAACTGTTCACAAACTAATTTTTAGGATCCATTTACATCTTTGCTTTGTGCTAACGTACATCGTAATGCCATTTATTCTGAATGGCACCCCAACGCACATGACACCTTACAAAATATGTGACACATCCAAATTTTCAGGACATTTTGGTGGGTTGGCAGCTCATTCATTACAATGGGCTACCTTAGCATGTGATGTAACACGCAATAATGCTCTGCAAATGCGCTGTTCCGAAAAATCGCAGAATGATCTGGGTACCTATGTACATCATTAGCCTTTTACTTGTTTTTTCTATAAACTGTAATCCGATTTCCTACCTCTCTGAAAAGATTAACCGGAGCAATCATGTACTGTGTAATGCCTTCATGTTTGATTAAACACAGGTTAACATTAATCTGGTTAACTCCTCCGCGAACATTCTGCATGCTCCTTGGCCAATCTTTTCACCTTGGGTTAGTGTACAGGTTATGTCATAACTTAAAACTTGGATATATAGGCTGTGTTATGTTATGAGGAATGCAAAAGGAGAAATGGGAGCAGCCAAAGGTATATGTGAACACCCACATAGTGGCCAGGAATAGAGCCAGGAACTACAACAGGGAGATCTCCACACCAGGGTCCCTAAGAAATATAAGGAACTACAACAGGGAGACCTCTTCACCAGGGTCCCCAAGAAATATAAGGAAGTACAACAGGGAGATCTCTTCACCAGGGTCCCCAAGAAAAATAAGAAACCAGAACATTGTTCATTACACTTGGCTGCACCTGAAATTAAAATTGCACTTTTGGGGGGACATTCCCTGTGTAATACCATCATGTTGTATTAAATACGGGTTAACATTAATCTGGTCAACTCCTCCACACACATAGATAACTTTGCATCCTTCTTGACCAATCTTTTCACTATGGATCAGTGTCAGGGTTACGTCAGATCCATCCAAATAGCTCACAGAGCTTTTGTCCAGTGCATGATCTCATTGTGGAACTCAATGAGAAAAGCTCACATGCAGCATTTTTTAGGAGATTATCTGTCAGTATCTCAAACATGAATAACTTTTGGGTAATCTTTTGAATGCTTTAAATAATTCATATTTCATTTTGAATAATCAATACCGTGTTGTCTAGAAATCTCCCTGGTAGCTACAATGGCAGATTTTCCTTATTTACATCTGTAGATGCAATCAATGGCATTTTAACTTCAGCATGAAAACTTCTCTTTAATGGGTTTAATGGCCCAGTTTGATGATAAGGGGAGGATCAGACATGTAGGAGTTTCCTGGAGATATGTGGGACCGTATCCTTTAATTTCTTGCAGAAGAGGAAAGGAAACAGTTAACTGCGCCTCGCTCTGTGTTGTCAAAATGGTGCAGATAGTCAAAGGTGGAAGGATGGGCAGATGTCTCAGAGAATTATACTGAAGCATCTGCCTGTCTCAAATTTTATGTCCAACTGCCCTTAGAAAGTGTACCAGTGTCAATTTCCTTTTAGGTAGGTGGCCATACTCACACACTACCTACCTTAAAAGCCCCCAACCTTTCTAGGTAGATGCCCTCATTGAACACAAATACACAAATTACATTAATCTTTTACACCATATCCACTCACCTGTTCAGGAAGGTGTTTCCAAAAGGGTTGAGCTTGCGGAAAGGTTTGTCGGGATCTACCATGAGCGCATTCCCAGGGATAACACCTTCTGTCTCTCCATGCATGACCGCAACGAAGGAGTCGGTGGTGGGTTCAGGTCCAATTCGACTACCTGGGATGTCCTGCTCTAGGAGATACTTAATGAAGGTGGTCTTTCCAGTCGAGTACTGGCCCATCACCAGTACCATGGGCTTATTATCAAAGTCAGCATCCTCCAGGGCAGGAGAATGGAAATCATGGAAGCGATAGTATTCTTCCACCGGCTTCAGCTTCTTTTTGTACAGGTCTTTGAGACCCTCGGTGACAGTGTGGATGACTTCAGGGATCTTCTTGTTTTTCTCATTCTTCTTCATCCAGCTAAACATGTTCACAGTTAATGTCGACGGACAACGATGTAGAAAGGCAAAAAGCTTATTTTCCTATTTCACAAAGCTTTCTGTCCACCTTATGGCTATATTAATAAAAAGTATTTTGTTGCTACGCAGTGTCTGCTTAGTGTGGTTCTCTGGTTCTTCTAAGCTTGCACTGTCCTCTTGTGATGTCAGTCTGAAGCTATGTTAGGTCTATCCCAGAACATCACAGAACCACTGGAAAAAAAGGGCAGGCAGGAACAGGGTGTGTGTGGAGGAGGCAGGAGGGGCAGGAGGGTGGGGAATTCAGGACCACTTTAACGTTTCTGTGCAAAGGGCTAATATGTTAAGTAAAAGTGGGGGAAGCTTACTTCACGTTCCAAACTTAATATGAAGCCAGGAAAAAAACAGTGGAAAAAAGATGTATTGTGCAGGAAAGAATGTACATTTGGAGAGGAGGTCTGCCCTGTATTCCACTCCCTGGGTGCCCACCCCACCAAAGGAATGTACAGCACAGCTCGAACTGTCATTCTGAATATAATGCAAAATCTTATGCCACCTAGTGGGGTGAAAAGTTACACATATATCTTGCATAATAAAATAGTTCAGGAAGGTTTGAACTCAGTAGATATTTGTTAATTATTTTGATAGATGCCTGATTAGGTGACCACTGACCCGCGGCAATAGCTCTCATCATTGACAAAGCTTTAGACTCTTTTGGTTAAAGAGAAGATCATCACAGCTTTTGGTAGATGCTACAGAAGTAAATCACATCATATATTGCATTTCTTGGTTACTTCTTTAGCTAGATCGCCGCACCTAAGTTCCTAGGTCTGCACATCTGCCGCTGTCATTACAAAGGGATGGATATTTAAGATGTTTCATGATATGGGAATTGCAAAAAGAGATATGGGAGCCCCCCAAGGTATATGTAAACACCTAGCACCCACAAAGTGGACAGGAATTGAGCCAGGAACTAAACATGTAAGCTGCGGAAAAATTCAGTTCGGTTCAGATATTACGTTATTTCGGGATTCTGGTCCGAAATTCGATTCGGTTCGGGGTTTCGGATTCAGACAAAATACGAATTTACATTAGTTTCGGTTAAGTTTATGAACAAATATTAATTACGACTACCAGAGAAAACCATATACAGATATTAACCACTTGAAGACCAGAGTGTTACACCCCCTTCCTGTCCAGGCCATTTTTCAGTATTCAGCGCTGCAGTACTTTGACTGACAATTATTCCGTCATGCAACGCTGTACTGAAATTAATTTTATACCATTTTTTAGGGACACATAGAGCTTTCTTTTGGTGGTATTTAATCACTACTGGGGTTTTTTTATTTTTTACTATACAACAAAAAAAGTACCCTAAATTTGTATGAAAAGTTATGAAACATTTCTTATCACCCCAATTTATTGGTAAAATATAAAAGACGGGGTCACGTCGGGTAAATAGACACCAAACATGTCAAGCTTTAAAATTGCGCGCGCCAAATCGCAGAAAACGACCACACATACACTGAATGCAGGAAGTGATGTAATATACATAATTTCCTGCATTCAGGGACAGGAGAAAAGATCAAAGGGAGTTTGTGTACTGATCTCCCTTTGATCTCCACTGAGAGAGTCGCCGTGCCGTGTACCAGCCGCACCGGGCACAGCGGATCTCGGGACCAGCGGCGGCGGCGAGGAGGTAGTGGCAACAAAGTACGTGGGGGAGGGGGGCTGTGGGCGCACACCCGCAGCTCCTGCAAGCGATCGGGCGTCTCTAGAGAACAGAGGAGAAAAATGAAGAAAAAAAAAAACACTGATACGTCTATGCATCAAATGTAAAATGGGCCCTTATGGTTTCTAGTCCATAGTGGATGTCCAACAGTTTGAAGCTGTGTACCTGCCTGTCACTGCAGGATAGGATGCTGCACTTGTAGGCAGTTGGTATCTGATGAGGACATGCCAGTACAGACAATACATATGGAGTGGCTTCTCTGTGCATATTGCAGTTCTTATCAATGTCAATCAGAGAGATGCTACATTGCCTTGGGCCCCATTCTGCCTTCATCTGTCTCTGGTTTCAGAGGAACTCCAGGAATTTTAAAAAAACATACCCTGGCCCCGCAGTGGAAGGGTTAAGTGCTCATTTTGTCTATGGGGTTAAAATACAGCAGATATACTCACCTGATCCTCGGTCCCATGGCGGTCACCACTCACCTCTGTTCCCCTCTGCTCTAGCTGTGGAATGTCTTCAACGCCCTCACATCTAGTGCAAGCCAATGGGCCTGCATAAGATGTGATGAAGTCTGCAGTCCTAGGACCGCCGGAGCTCAGGGGAGAAGAGGCAGCGGAGCCCGGTCTAGCAGTCCAGCGGGACTGAGAATCAATTGAGTATATTTGCTTTATTTGAGCCCCCTAGCCTAGACAAAACCAGAGCTTAACCCTTGTAGAGTGGGGGTAGCCCTACTGCAAGTGTACGTTTCTTAAATTCACAGAGTTCTCCTTTAATACAGACTTGTGGTGTCACCTCACACAGAAAGTGGTCCCAGGTCAATACAGCAGACACCTTTGGGTGCCTACCAGCATCCACAACCCCCCCCCCCCTCCCCCAAAGAAGCCAGTCGCACTTGCTGCACCGGTTGCAGGTCCGTCCCCGGACGATCTCTATATACACACATTGATCTTTATATACACAGTCAGGAGTATAGCACACAGTGAACTATATATATACGGTACCCTGTGATCCTGCAATGCCCTGTAGTTGTCCGAAGGGGGCTGCCTGGGGACAGATCTCACTGGGCCTCTCCAGCCTAGGGCCTTGGTGCAACTGTACAGGTGGTAGGTCTGTCCCTG